ACTGGGCTCTTTCTGGCAGGGGTGGGCCGGACTGTGCTCAGGGCAGGTAGCGGCGGCACTGGGAGGTGGGTTAGGGAGACTCTGGCAAATTCTGGAGTGACTGCAGCCCCCCTCCACAATAGCTCTGCTCTTGTAGGCACCTGCAGTGAAGGAGGGAGTGGGGCAGAGGCAAGGTCAGGCACAGCACACCTGGGCAGAGCCTGGGATTGAGCTGTGCGCACCCCAGGAGGGCATGGGTGGGGTGTGCTCCCTGATCTGCACACAGGGTAGGCTAGGGTACTGCTGGACTCTTCCTGGCAGGGGTTGAGCCAGGCTGTGCTCAGGGCAGGTGGCAGCAGCACTTGGAGAGGGCTACAGGGGGGGCTGCAGTCACTCCAGAATTCACTGTACCCCTCCCCCCACTGTACTCCCAACAGCCCAGCACAGCCCTGGCCACAGCCCCAGCCCGCCCCATGCCACCCCATGAGCAGATCTGGGGGCGCACACCCCTCATGCCCTCCCAGGACATGTAGCAGCGGCACTGGGGGAGGGGGCCGAATGTGGGGAAAGCTCACACACTGCGGCCATCAGTGCCACCCACCACTGACTATTGACTGAGGGTGGTGGCCAGCCAGGAGAGCAAGTTGGGGTGGGGTGGGGTGGGGTGGGAGGTGCCGCAATCTGCCATGAGGGGCCGGCAGTGCCTGGTGCATCCCTCCCAACCCTCTGGGTATGAGATGAATGCACCGGGGGAGATGACACCACCATGCCGTGGGGCATGCTCAATCCCTGACTGCCAACCTGTGCATACCCCTAAAGACCTTTCTAAGTACCCCTAGGGGTACACATACCCCCGGTTGACAACCCCTGATCTAGCCAGGTCTTAAAAACCTCCAAGGCTGGAAATTCTACAACAGGAATGGGCAAAATACAGCCTGCAGGCTGGACCCAGCCTGCCAAGGGATTTTGTCTGGCCTGTGGTGGTTTCCTTGGTCTCACCCAGCCCAAGGGGCAGCCCGGGCTGTGGTGCATGCAGTGGGTCCTGCTGCATGCACCACAGCAGGGCTGGGGTGGTGCGGTGGTCAGACTTGTTTCCTGACAGTCCTGGTGGTGGTGGCTCCTTCTGGCAGCTGTTGCTGGAACCAGGCCTGCTGCCCAGACATCCCGGCCCACCGACCTGCCCCACACCCACCACTGGGGGCAGGTCCTGTGCAGGTAGGGCTGGGCGGACAGGATGGGGCCATGGGCAGGCAGGGAGCAATGTCCAAGAGTGGGACAGGCAGGCAAGGCTGGGATCATGGGATGGGATCATGGGGCAGTGACAGCGCAGAGCCGTGATCCACTGCCTGCATAGCCCTGTGACAGGTGCAGGTTCTGCAAGCAAGGGTGTGCAAGGAATGGATTGTGGCTCTGCCCCAGGTCTTGCCCCCATGTTGCCACCACCCGAAGATCCCAGTCCCAGGCCTTGATTGCAGCTCCCTGCCCACCAGCAGCCCCATCTGGTCCACCTGGCCACATGCCCTGCTTGCATGGGTCCTGGCTGGTCTCCATGGAGACCCCAGGATTGCAGGGCAGTGACAGCACAGGGCTGGGGTGAGGACAGGGCTGTGCTAGTATCTGCTCCCCACCATCCCTTCCCGCAGAACCTGTGCCTGTCACAGAAGCGTGCAGGCAACAGATTGCAGCTTTTCCCTAGCCCCATGCTGTCACTGCCCCATGATCCAAGCCGTGGTCCTACACATTTGTCTCACTCCTGGATGCCACTCCCAGGCCACGCAGGGAGTTTTGCTGAGATGTTGCACTGACCCAGCCTGAAAAAGCTCAGCAAAACTCCCTAGGTGGCTCTTGAGCCCAAATAATTGCCCACTACTGTTCTACAACCTCTCTGGGTAGCCTGTTCCAGCATTTTACTACCCTCCTAGTGAGAAACATTTTCCTAATATCTAACCTAAACTTCCCTTGCTGCAACTTGAGACCACTGCTCCTTATTCTATCACCTGCCATCACTGAGAATAGTTTAGTTCCATCCTCTTTACTCCTCAGATAGCTGAAGGCTGTTGTTAAATCCCCTCTCAGTCTTCTCTTCTTCAGCCTCTCCACATAAGTCATGCCCCAACCCCCTCACCATTTTCATTGCCTTCCACTGGACTTTTTCCAACTTGTCCACATCCTGTCTGTAGTGGGGGGCCCAAAACTGGACACAGTAATCCAGATGTGGCCTCACCAGTGTTGAATAGAGGGGAAGAATCTATTTCCTCGATCTGCTGGTAACACTCCAACTAATGCAGCCCAGGATGCCGTTATCCTTCTTGGCAACAAGGGCATGCTGTTGGCTAACGGTCAGCTTACTGTCCACTGTAACATGCAGGTCCTTTTCTGTAGAGCTGCTGCTTAGCTGGTCAGTCCCCAGCCTGTAGTGGCGCATCAGATTCTTCCATCCTAAGTGCAGGACTTTGCACTTGTTCTTATTGAACCTCATGAGATTCCTTTTGGTTCAATCCTTCAAATTGTCAAGACCCCTCTGAATCCTAGCCTTACCCTCCAGCATGTCTTGTATTCCCCCTAGCTTGGTGTTATCCACAAACTTGCTGAGGGTGTACTACATCCCACCTTCCAGACCATTGATGAAAATATTGAACAACACCAGCCCAGGACCAACCCCTGGGGCACTCCACTTGAAACCAGCTGCGAACTAGACACGGAGCCAGTTTTCTATCTACCTTACAGTCTATTCATCCAACCTGTACATCCTTAGCTCACTTGCAAGAATGTTGTGGAAGACCATAACAAAAGCCTTGCTAAAGTCAAGGTATACTACAACTGTTCTCTCCACATCCACAAAGCCAGTTATCTCATCATAGGGCACCTGTCCTCATCATGGGTATTAATCTTCATTAAATTAAATAGGTTTATAAAATTTAAACTTGTTTATTTTGGAGCATCACATCTGTGTTTACATGCACTAGGTTTTTAATCTAATTAAGCTGGGTCCCTGGCTGGCACCCCCAGAGAGCATGACAGTTCAGCACTGCCTTCCAGCCCAAGGCCCCCCACCCACCCCATGCCTGTGCCTTGCCACGCACCTGTGGAAGCAGAGAGCAGGAAAACAAAAACCAAAAAAAAAAAAAAAGGAAAAAGCCACACAAGAAAAAAAAAACAGTGGAAGCACTTGGAAAGCAATTTGAAGGGGTGAACTACAAAGAAGTCACAGCATCATCTGAAGGACAAAGAGGCTCATTAAACATCTTTGAGTGCCTTTGTGTTTTCATGCAATGAATCCATGGATGCAACACTTTAACTCTGGGTGAGCCAAACTAAACAACGTCCAAGGAGTTTTAGTTTAATGCAGAAGAAAGACTTTTAAAGCATCAGGACATCCTGCTCATGGAAACAGACTCTCAATTGCAGTACATGAAAAGGCAAAAATGTGGAGTGTACATGAGCCCATAGAAGGTAATCAGGTTGGTCAGTTATGACTTCCCATTGGTGAATCCAAGCTGCCTGTTCCTAGTTACCTTCTTCTCCAAGTGCTTAGAAATGGATTTCTTGAGGACCTGCCTCATGATAATTCCAGGAACTGAGATGAGGCTGTTCACTGGATCCTCCTTCTTCCCTTCTTTAAGATGGGCACTATATTTATCCTTTTCTAATTACCCAGGACCTCTCCTGATCACCACAAGGTTCAAAGATAATGGCCAGTGGTTCTGAAATCACATCAGTCAACTCCCTTAGCACCCTTGGCTGCACCATGTTCAGCCCCATAGACTTGTACACATCCAGATTTTCTAAGTAGCCCCTAACCTATTATTTTGACACCGTTGATTGCTCACCTTCTTCCCAAACTGTGCTGCCAGGTGCAGTAGCCTGTGAGCTGACCTTGCTTTTGAAGACTAAGGTAAAAAACGCATTGAGTACTTCAGCCTTTTCTGCATCATCTGTCAGTAGCTTGCCTCCCCCATTCAGTAAGGGACCCCCACTTTTCCTAATCTTTTTCTTGTTGCTTGTAGAAACCCTTCTTGTTACCCTACATGTCCCTTTCTAGTTGCAACTCCAATTGCACTCTGGGCTTACTGATTTCATCCCTGAATGCCTGAGCAATACTTTTATACTCCTCCCTAGTCATTTAGTCTAGCTTTCACTTCTTGTAAACTTCCTTTTTGTGTTTTAGCTCACTGAAGAGTTTCCTATGAACCCAAGCTGTCTTTTGCCATACTTGCTAGTCTTCCTGTGCATCAGGATGGTTTGTTCCTGTGTCCTCAGTAAGGTTTCATTAAAACACAGTCAGGATCCCCTTCCTAATCAGACTGGCCTCCCAGGGGATCCTGCTCATGAGTTCCCAGATGCTATGACATTATTCCCTAAGACCTTGTTTTCCAGACATTGTACTTTTGATTTGGTCCCTAGATGCAGTAGTTCTTTTGATACCCACATGTGATGTACATTTGCCAAGTATTTTGACATCCGCCATTTTCATTTACTGTATTTCATTTTTATATTGCACTCTAGCTCCCTTCTAAACTTATTTTTTCTATAAAAAGTCCATGGGGGAAAGCTTATCCCATGAATAGGAATGCAATTATTACATGGTTTAGCTAAGCTTTGGTGTCACCAGGGTATTCAAGAGTACTTCACAATTCAATTTTCTCTCCTTCAAGACAATTTTCTAATAGGATAGATAATTTATGTTAAATGAAATAAATTGGGAACCTGGCCTAGCCTGGCACATCTGCCTCCAATATCACATTAGATGCTACTGCTCTGATTGAGATTTAAGTTTCAATTTGCTGTATTTTGTTCAACATGACGCAGCTGTCTTCCCAACAATCACATATCATCCTGTTTTCCTATACATGCAAGATAAAATACTCTTTCCTATCTGGAGAAACCCTTTAAAGATGTTATGCTAAGACTTAAAAAAAACCATACAAATAACACACCAGATAAAGCTTTATTAAATTAACCCACTGGAACAGAAGAATGCAGCAATTCTGAATATTAAGGATGTCAAATTCTAAAGGACAATTGTGTAGCATGTCCGACCAGAGCTCACACATCAAATATACTAGTTCTGGTTCCTCTGCCATTCCTATTGTTCCAGAATCTACTGGGTCATCCATTGACTTCATTGTGCATTGAGTAAGGCCCTTAAAGTGTAATAAAGAGGAAGCCGATCAAGTCAGTTAATATCTTCCCACAAATTTTGCAAGGTGGTCTTTTTAGTGTCTGAACTTAGTAATTTTCTTTAGCAATTAATAGTTTCAGCGTCTGGCCCTGAGCATGGCATGCCACCATTTTCTGGGGCAGGGTTGTTGCACTGTCGTCTTCTTGTTTTTTGCCCTCCAGAGCATGCAGACCAGTTGGACCAGCAGCCCCAGTTTCCATTAACAACAACATCTACAGAAAACATTAACACAGAAGCAGGTATCACAACAGAGCTTTCTTTTCAAAGAAGGTACCGTGTGCTTACACAAATCATAGTTAAATATAGACAAAGGCCCCTCCTTCAAATTTTTAAGCACATCCTAGATCAGACTCCAGCAGCCAGACTCCATTTCCCAGCAGCCCTGTCTGTGTAGCTCCCAGCTGATCTCCATGGAGACCCTGGGAGTAGCGGGGCTGTGACAGTGCGGGGCTGCCCAGCTGGGGCTCTTCCCAGCCCTAGCCTTATGCTCCTGGGGTCTGGAGACCAGCTGGGAGCCACATGGGCAGGGCACGTGGCTGGACAGGGAGCTGCTCTGGGGGTATGATCCCTGCGTGCCTCTGCCTGCAGAAAATGCACAGGAGCATATGGGCAACAGATCATGGCTCTGCCCCAGCTCTGCACTGTCATTGCCCCAAGATCCCAGGATCTCTCTGGCCCCACCCACCTGTCTCACTGCCAGCCGCAGCCCCATCCCAGCTGCCCACTATGGCTGTGCAAAGCTTCAGTCCCTGATTCGATTCAGTGGAGATTCAGCCCAATTCGGTGGCCAAACCTCTGAATCTGAATTGAATCAGGAGACCCTTTAATTTCTCCAAATCGAATCGGAAACCTCGAAATCAATTTGGAAAGATTCAGCGATCCAAACATAGACACAGATTTAAATGTTTTTTCTACATACTGCTAGGTAGTAGGTGGCTCATGAGTGCTGCGATGCTGGGGTGCATGGAGTGTCCCACAGGAGTGTGATGGGGGGCTCCCCGGTGTGCTCAGCAGCAGATCTGGAAGCAGACCAGAAGCATTTTTGGTCCACTTCCGGGTGTCCCCCCCGTGCCCACCTGGCTCGGCAACTGGTATCTCCTAGGTCTGACTGATTGGCAATCCAGGAGGGTGCAGGGCGGGAGGGCCAGAAATGGTCTACTTCCAAGTTTTCTGCTGAGCATGCGGGGACCCTCCCCCCCCGCACTCCCGTGGGATGCTCCATTTGCCTCAACATTGCAGCATTCACAAGCTGTGCCTGGTACCTCAAGGTATGTCAAAAAAACATTTAAAGCTGTCTCTATGTCTGAACCACCGATTCTCCAAATCAGCATCAAATCTTCAGATTCGGCCAAATCAAATCGGGGACAGTGATCCGAATAATCAATGAATTAAATCACTCTCCCTGATTCGGGCCGAATTTGAATCCAAATTGAATATGGCCTGCTTCGTAGACCCCTGCTGCACACTCTACCCGTGCGGGTCCTGACCCGACATTGGGTGCAGGGAGGATGGGCCAGGGTGCCCAGGCAGCAGGGCTGGGTCCAGTGGTGGCATCGAGAAGGACTTGTCACTGCAGGGGCCTCTGGGAAATGCAGTCTGCCTTGGGCCTGATATGGCCCGTGGGCCAGACTTTGCCCAACCCTGTCTTCCATCATTAAAACTTTTGAGATGGTAATTCCAGTCATTATGATGTTTGTTCAAGCTGCATTTCACTGAACCAAAGATGAAGACACACAGCACAGTTATCCCAGAGCACTTTACTTTGAAGTAAGGAGGAGACGCTTGCCTGCAAGCACCCACCAGCAAAGAAAAAAAGTTAGTGCTGATGATTGTGAGACAGCTACATACCAGGTATCAATTACTTTCACTTTTGCTTACAGTCAGTTTCCCTCCCTGGTTAAGACTAAATGAATCTGTGTAATGGATGCCTTAAATAGTGTCACTTACGTTTGAGGAGCCCAAAATGAGGATAGTGCACTTATGTTTAAATATCAAGTGGCCTGCTTTAATTTTCACCTCTCTATCAATTACTTCTCCTGCTGTGTCCCCCTCTTCTGAGTGTGAGATATATTAAACCTCCTTAGATGCAGTGAGCCAATAAGAAGTGATGCATAAGGGACTAAGGGGACATAAGTTATATTCCAATAAATAGATGCGAGTCTAAGGGAGTCTTTCTTGCTCTACCATATACAATAAACAAACCAGAACAAAGTAGAAGGGACAATTGCAGACTCCGTGGAGTCTCTTAGATTCACCTATGAAGTTAAACCCGTGCTCCAGGACATCTTAGCTGACAAACTGGTGTGGATAGGAGCACAGTTATATCGAGTGAAAAATGGATAAAAGACCATAAACAAAGGGCTGTGATAAATGGCAACATATCAAATTATGGGGAGGCATTGTGTGCAGCTTGGCAAGGGATTTGTGTGTAAGCAACCTTATTCAACAGCTAAATTAATGATCTAGGAGAAATAAACAACAAAATAATTAAATTCACAGGTAATACTGAACTGGGAGGAGTTCAGAACACTCATCACACAAGAGAAATAATACAAAGAGTCCTAGAGAAAGTAGCACCACAAGTGGAAAATAACAATATAGGATTTAACTGGAAAAAGATTAAACTGTGCTGTGCTATACCTGGGGAGGGAGTCTGTGACATATTAACTCCATCGAAGAGAGAAATTTGGGAGGCAGAGATATGAAAAGGAGATTGTGCAAATAAAGCACGAGTTTATAATAGGATGTGACTGCAAGAAAAGTCTATGCAGGTTTGAGCTGCAGCTGCAGACACAAAATCACCTTCCTATGCCACCTCAGATCATAGAAGTCATGGGCTTTGTTGTGAAATCTCTCTAACTTGCCTTCAGTTCTGGACACCGCAAGGACAGACGTATCTTGTCAAGTTGAAGGGACTTCAAAAAGATGAAAAGGGCCACAGTGATGGATTTGCACAAGGCGGTCAAAAGAGAGACTGTGTGTGGATGGTAAATAAGTGTGTAGACGTGTGTGCACATGTGTGCGTACAAGTAAGTAGAGATGATGCTGTCAGTGGAATACTAAAGCCATATCCCTTTCATAGAGAACTAAACCAAGGTGCAGAAAGGCTTGATCCAAGGCTAGACAGCACATCTGTGGCAGAACAGAAAAGGGATTGAGGATCTTGATCAGCTTCCTTTACTCAGTGGCAAAACTTCTACTGCTTTAGTGATTCAGGATCAAGCTCCAGCAATTCTGATTTCTAGTCCTGCGCTTTAACCACAAGGCACCTGTTCTTCATGCTTTGCGGAGATGACTAAATTAGTTTAAACACAGGGTCCCATCACTGGCGATTTCTATGGTCCACATTGCTTTAGACACCTTTTTCATCCCTCTTACCTTTCCTTTTCGTGATTTCACAGGCAGTGCCGCGGTATCCCAGGGGACAGATACATTCACAGTGCGTTCCTGAAAGGAGAACAGTACCAGTTGGATTTCTGTACTTCACTAGCATGTGTTACTATACTGTACATTTTTCTATAGATTCCAGTTTCTTTTTATGCCTATAAAAAGGGGAAGAGACTATTTCTTCATGTAATGGACAGTCTTCCTATTACCTGTATCCTCAGTGCCTAATGGAACGGGGCTCCAATCTCAGATCCAGGCCTCTAGGTACTGATTACTATGATCATTTCAAAACATCTTTCATGGAAAATGGCCCTAAATAGAATGCAAACAGGGCTTCACTCCTAATAAGTTATTTAAACAAGGGTAATCATCAGAGGAATCAGTTAAGTGCTATAATCAAGCTAGCTGGTACCTGAATCAATAGTTTCTGCATTAGATATATTTAGATGATAACTCAAGTCTCATCAGGATCTCTGCAGATGCACATTTGAATTAGGTATTTGAAAAAAAACCCAACAACATTGCTTTTATTAGAAAAACCTACGCATCACATACCTCCATTTAGGGGAGAAAAAGTGGTGTTTTTTTTCCATTCAATTTACTTATTTTCCCCTTCCTTTTTAAATCAATGTGTGCTTCAAAATGAGAGCAGCTTCAATTAAATGGATGGGGGGAGGGCAGAAGTATACAAAACTGAGCTGTTGTTGATGATCACGATCATGATCATGATGATGAAGATAACAGTGCTTGGCACTTATATGGCGTTTCTCATCTTAGAAACACTAATTAATGTTAAGACAGCCGGTCACTTCCCTCTGATGATGGCAGTTATCTTGAAAGCAAAGGAGACTTTAAAACATCAACTTTTCTTTTAATGTATAATTGAGATGGGAACAGTTTCTCAAACGTATCAGATAAAGATGATCGTTTTTGCTAAATTGGTGAAGTCCTTTATCTTTGCTGTTCCTGCTGCTACTATTAAACAATGGTGATTTATGAATGAAGTGATTCTTTTAAAATTCATTTTCTGTATATTGTGAAACAGGAATCAAATGTGAAACTAATGAACAGATTACCAGCCAGTTAATCTTCCTATATACACCTCTGTTCATTTATATTAGGAAAGAGAGGTTAGATGCAAGTGTCTCCTACCTTTCAGAAAGGGGATGCCATTGCCGCGGCATGGAGCACAGTGGCAGGAACTGCTCTCCAGCAGAAAATCATCAAGAGCACGCTTCATATTTTCCTTTAGCCTCTGTGCATTTGCAAACTCTGTTGCAGTTACCAGTTGGTAGAGTGGCTCTGTCTAAGGGAAAAAGCAACATCTGGACATAGTTTGGAGGTCCTTCTGTTTTCAGCACCCACTGTAGGAACATAGCTTCTGAATGAAATGAGAGTTTATGTTTGGAGAGCTATGCCATGACTAGAAAAGTTTTCCAAGAGGGGGACATTTTAGCCATTGCTAGCCACGTGCAAATGAAATGGACCCCTCAACAGCTCTACATTGTCAATGAATTTATGTATAGAGTTGGCCAAAAGAATAGGGCAGCAATTGTATTATTTTTTTTTAGTTTCTTACCCTCCAACTTCAAAACGTCACTGAAAGTTCAAAATAAGGAAACCAGCTGGCTAGAAACTGGGGGAACCTTTCACAAAAAATTCCCATTTTTTTTACATTTTGAAGTTTAAAAAAAAGATCAACTGTACACACACACACACATATCCTCTATCTCCCCTTGAAACATGCCTGCTACCCTCCACTTGACCACATGCATATATAATGATGGTTTGATATTGTTTTTAAACTACTGCAAAACCAGTTGTTCATTTAGAGGCTGATTGCACTCTTTATGAAATCAAACATTGGTACAGACATGACACTTTTACTGGTATAAGTGATTGGAAATGAGTTTATGCCCATAACAGAACAAAGTTTGACACAGAAAACCTATCTGTACCCACAGCAGAACAGAAGGGGTGGAGACAGGTTTTTGCCTCCTCTGATTTTTGCCAAGTGACAATTTTTCCCTGATCTGGCGACAGAAAGCAGTTTATAATTGTGACCAAACATAAATGCATGGCTGCAAACAGCTTCAAAAAAGGCCAATTGAGTGAAAATCTGACCCCTCATTGCATGAGGTATCAGATAAAGATGTTTCAAAATGTAGTGTCTTCTGTAACTTCTGTCTGCAGGCCTCCCAGTCTGTTGCTGTTTTTAGAATGGGAAGAGGGAAAGGGGGCAGAGGGAGTTCAGTCTGTGTTTTTTCCAGCTCACCCCCTGCCCTCCAGAGGGTGGGGTGGGTATACTGGAGCCCCTCCAATTCACCCATCCCACCTTTCAGCACTGGCTGAGGAGCCCCAAGAATGAGCTCCCTCTATTGCCTTTCTCCCTCCCATTCTGAAAACAGCAAGCACTGGCAGAGAGTTGTGACCATCGCTATGGGAAGCTGGCTGCAGGTTTCCAGGCAGCAGCCAGATTGTCCTGCGCCCTGGAACCAACAGTGAACTTCTGTTTGGTCTGGGGTAACGCTATAACTCAGAACGCTTTGTAGCAACTGTTCTGAGTTACAGCTGGGAGCTGCACTTCTGTCTGCACCCAAGTTTGGCGCACACAGACTGGTTTAAAAATGGCAGAACCCAGTCTAAGATTTGAACCCCCACCCTCCAACCAAAGGGCAAACTGTTCACTATTGATCTAAAATATGCTGCTTACAGAAAACCATATCATTCAGATTGATTCCAGCCCTGGTTTTTGAATGTCTGCAGCTAGTCAAAGTGTAGCCATTGGCATTCAAACGTAGATGGACTGCAATCCTAGCCTGTAGGTTACTAGGCTGATACTGCAGTTCTTATCCGGAACATTTGAAGACAATGAGATGCAAAGGTATACCTGAATTGAGGGCACAATTTGAACACAGTGGTTATAATTTGGTAGAGCACAGAATCAGGTGTAACTGAGAGTAGGAGTTGGTCCACAGACCCTTTGTTGCTGCTGCTGACACAGTCGCCAGCAAGAACATAGCTGGAAGGATCTCAGCCTGAGTCTGCATGGTTAGGAAAAAGGGGGGGTTAAAAATAGTCCAGTACCAGGAAGGAAATAGTAAAAGTGCAGCCCCAGGGCTGGGGCCAGTGGCTGGGTTTTCCCAGCCCTGGGCCTGTGCTGGGAACTGTACAGAAATTCAGGACATTTAGAGTGGTCTAAATATGGCCAACCCAATCTAAAATGAGTGTAACTCGAAGGCAGAGTTAACTTTGATTGGGTTGGTCATTTTTAAACTGATCTAACTGCTCTGAACTTTTGTACAGTTCACACTTAGATCCACCTAACTAGTGTAAGGTCCACACCTGGGGGAACTAAGTTGATCAGGTGCCATTTTTAATGCAATCAAACCTCCCTCTAATGTCTCCAAATGTCTGTACCTAGTCAAGGAGAACCTTTCCATTGTCCTCAATGGGCTGTGCTTTAGTCCTTTAATGAATGCATTTACAGAGGAAATGTACCTCAGAATAAACGTTAAGTAATAGCCCAAAACAAATAATTGGGTCTGAATACAGGTTTTGAATACCCCAATGTTCCAATGAGCTTGCATTATGGTATTTGTGTTCCTACTACAGGTATTCAGAAGTTGGGTTTCTTTTTGCCTTTCTATGAACAATTTTAGTGAAAAAAATTCAAAGGTCTTGACAGAAAGGTTGACAAGGTTCTTTGGGTAAATTTGATATCTTTTATTAGATCACTAGATCGATAGATCACTCAGCCTGATGAAGGGTATTTGTACCCAAAAGCTTGCAAATAGCTTGCAATAGTTTTTCCAACTATTTGAGTTGGTCTAATAAAAGATATTGGATTTACCAAAAGAAACTTTGCCTATTTCCTTAGACCAACAGAGCTACAACCTATATCATAGAAAGGTTCAACTTTTCAGCAGAAAAAATCAGCTAAAACCTCAGGACTTCACTCTGGAAATGCCACCAGGGTACCACGTGGACTTATTGCTCAGGTGCTTCATGGTCTCATTCTTGAATTTGAGATGATTATGGGCCACACTTTCCAGGATGATGCACATGGTCTTCCCTCTTCATCAGATACTGCAGCACATTATGTGAGTCTCTACCCACAATGCACTTGGGAGATACAGTCTGCCTGGGGTAATCCAGAGAATGGAGGCAGAAGTTACCTGAAATATAGCTTGCCTGAGGACCACCCCCCAGTGACATTCCAAATCCACATTTTTGCTTTTCATGAAACTTTATGGAATGGATGTACTTCGACTTTTCTTTAATTCTCTCTTTCTCTCTCTCAGCAAAATCATTTTGCCAAAATCCAAATTTTCCAGCAAAACAAGACTTCACCACAAGCTTTTGATTAGCGATGGTTCAAACCCACTTTTAATAAGAGCATTCCTTTCCCTTGGTAATATTTAACCAAAGTTTAAGTGAACTAAATTTGATTTTCAAACTGATGACACCCAATTATCATATTTGTTCCCTGTTATCTTTCACTTTTGTCCTCCTCAGAATTTACAAGCCTTGACACCAGCCAATCAGAAGCTGAAAGCCCAGTACAATCTTCTCTTCCCAGATCCCAGCTGTTTTTCAAATTAATGAAGTTTGAATAAATTGAACATTCATCAAGACCATTTGTTCTCCCAAAAATAACAGAATAGTTTCTATTAAGGACCTGGCAAATGCAGAAGGCAAGAGAGATTCAGAAGAAAAGAAGCACATTTTATTACACTCTAATATTAGAGGCCAATAGGTGTATTTCTAATACAGCACAAATTACTTTCTTCAAACTTTTATTATCCAAAATTCGAAGTTAGAGACACCAAAAATTTCCCTGATTATTCACACCCCACCTTACCTGCATCCATCCAAAGTCCCTCAGAATTGTATGGAGTATTAGTTACGGTACCTTCAGCTTTATAATTTCCGGGTTGTACTGCACTGCATCTCCCCACTCCTGCATTAGTTTAGCAGTTGGTAATTCCTTGTCGGCCAAAGTTGCAATATACTCACTTCCTCCTCCACGAACAAGAGTTATGAAGTCTTGCACAAATTGCTTTTTTGCACTACTGTCTACAAATAGCGTAAAGTGACAAGCTCAATTTTGAGATTTCTTCGTGCATCACAAATAAAATAAAAACTATAACCAACTAGACACTGCAAATGATCTGTCTCAGAGAGAAAGGGAAAAGTAATCTTGATCACATTATTAATAACAAAAAATGCTTCCATACCCACATAAGCACAATACCCTCTTTCATTAAAGAGAGATTGGGGTGACTCCAGTGGGAATGGGAATTGCAAGATTTACCTCATAGGTCTCCTTTGATATAATTATGAATGGAAAACCAACAACATAGTCATCCATAGATTTTATTGCCAGGGGATCACTAGAATAATAAATCAGCTTCCCTCTGTGTGTAGGGCTACCTTGAAAAGCCCTGGGAAGCTTCAGCTGCTTCTCTTTGAGTAATGGGCTTTTTCCTGCTTTCATTAAAGCCAACAGTATAAGTTACATTTACCCAAATGGTGTGGAATCAAGGTCCATAAACACATAAATGTCATTTCACAAATGTAACTACAGTTTACTCCTAAAATTGAGCAAGAACTGCCTTAGCATTAAACAGGAAAAACAAAAGCACAAGGCTATTTGTTGCTTACCTCCAATTTCTGTCAACGTTTGACCACAGCCACCAGATGACACAGCTAAGTTCAGATAAGCTACTGCGATATTAACACCAACGTTAAATCCTTTTTGTGCACAGGACCGGACATCACTTAAAGAGTAACCTTAAATGAACAAAACATCATACTTTACTAAAATAACATTCCACTTAAAGTATTTGTTAATGATTTCTTCACTCAAGATGAGACATTTAGGGTTTGATGATACTCATAAGAGCCAGAGCCCTTAACTCTTGATGTTATCAGTGGAGTTGACTACACTGAAGATCCTGCCCTTAGAAAGGGAAGAGGCCCTTCTCAAGTGTTAAGTCATTTTCTACCCCCTAAATCAATGGAGTAAGCAGATCATACACCATTTTGTTTTTGGGGTTATGTCAAAATGAGAAGTTATGCTTTGCTTTTCAAGGCCAGGGATACTTTTATGTTAGGTGCTCACACAATACTCAGCGTGCTAAAAAAGACTTCTAGGTGCTACTAAAATAAAATACATAAAATGAGCTCTGTGGGTGCCTGTAGTTGTGCGGAGACATTGCTCCAACATGCTGGAGCAGACTCAATCATGAACGATGCATGCCCCTGGTGGCTGGGGGGCTGAATACATGAGATGTTGCGGGTGCTTTAATTAGAGTGACTCTCAGAGATACTGTAATTAAAGCACCTCCCCGCCCGGCCAGCAGAGCACATGTAAAGATGACCTGTGCACGTGCAGAGTAGAAGCATATTATTAAGGGAAACAAGGAGCTAGAAATGAAAAAATCTAGGTTTTCAATCCAGGTCTGACATTAATTCACTGTGCAATGTAGGAAACCCAACTCATGAAGCATTCAAATCTAGCTCACGCTCTTAAAAATTTAGCCTTAGAACCTGTGTGCCTCAGTTCCTTATCTATAAAACAGAAGTAATGATGCATTCCTATTAATATGAAGCACTTGGAGATTTGGGAAGGAAAAAGATTAAAAAAAATCATAATCATTATAAGTACTAATTATTGTTGCATGTATTATAATTACTATCTGACTAGGGGTGAGGTCCCTCCCTGCTTCTCAGATTCCGAATCTATAAAATGGAGCTGGTAATACTTAACTATGCTAAATGCATGGAGGTGTGATGAGAAGCAATTAATTGTTTATGGAGCGTTTGGAGATTATCACACTGAAAGTTTCTACAGAAGTGTTAAGTATCATAATAGTCATTACCCTAGCTCTAGAGGAGACTGTCACTTCACTTTCACAAAATCTGTACATTTTAAAAACATTTTCAAAATCTGCTATGTAAACAGACACTTAATGGGCTGCAGCCGCTCCTTCTTTGAGGTGGATTATCCATGGTTTCTATTTAATTACTCTGATCATAAACAAGCAGGAAAATTCTCTACAGTTGAATTTACTAATCTTCACTAATGCTTGTAAGATCTGACACAAATTGTTGGAATTTGCACATGAGTGACTAAGCCTCAATTCTTCAAAATATTTTTATTTCAAATTAGGTGCTTCTACCCTCAAGTGGAAGGCTGAGCCAATGGGTCCTACCCTGCACTAGCTGGTGAATACAATGTTTATCATACAGAATGGCTGCAATGAGATTAATTAGGACAGTACAAGCTGCGTCCCATTGAGTTTATTTGCTGAATTGGTCCTGAATGAATTAGCAGTTAAGGACCCAGTTCAGCAGCACACTTAACCATTCTAGGTTTATTTTAACACATCAATAGTCTCACTGGAGTTAGATATGTGATTAGGTACTTAGCTAAACTGGCATCTTAAGAAAAAAAACCCTAAAGTAATGCACTCCCCTTCACTCCACCAGCAATGACAGCCTCTCTGTCTGCAGTTCTTCAGTTCTTCCAAGAACTGCTGTATGCACTGAATACCTTCACAACATCTATTTGCAGAGCAACAACCACGATGCTCTCTCAGTTCCCTACTTGAGACCCACCCCTCTCATGACACACATGGTAAACTGTCCAATGACGGTGGGGAGGTAGATGGTCTGCGTAGGGAGGTAAATGGTCTACAAGCGACTATCTTTCCCCCAGTTGTCTCCTTCATAAATTAAAATCAACTTTTTAACTTCCAAGATCTGCATTTTGCTAAGAAAAGATATACCATCTTAATGGTACTGTTAGTGCCATTTACATGTCTACCCTCCCCCACTCTCCTAATATACTGTAGTCGAGGGTGTCATAGAAATGGCCCACAGGTTGCCTGTGGTTCATGGAGCCGCACAAACCAGCCCCTGGTGCCCGGGACCCATGCCACACATAGCTCCTGCTCTAGGTGGCCGAGGCCCTCCACCACTCATCTAACTTCTGGAGCCAGATGATTTTGACACCATTGGGCATGTGTAGATGAAACAGGGACCCTAAATTGAAACGGTGGGTTTTAAAAAATGCCGCTTCAATTTAGGGCTGATTAAACCCCTGTGTCATGCACACACCCTGCTGACCTATCTGCCTCCCCAGCGGGGAGGAGAGGGTGAGCTGCTGGCAGGAAGAGCAGTCCCTGGGCTGCAGGGGTCGGGGGGCTGGTGCTTCCCTCCATGGCAGCTGTGGCCCCCCGCCAGGCAGCATCTGCCCACAGGCACCTGGCTTGGACGGTCCCAGGGGGCACTGCAGCCGTGGAGGGAAGCACCAGGCCCCCACGCAGTTCAGGCAGGCAGGCTCCAGGAGGGGGAAAAAGATCAGGCTTGCTGCTTTTCTTGGGTGGAGTCTGCCTTCCCGGGCTGCTGCCAGGCTGCCTGCAGGGCTTCCTGCAGAGCCGTGGAGCTGCACAGAGCCTGCTGCTTCGCTCTGCAGCTGTATGCAGCTCCTCAAAGGAATTTTAGTTTGCTGCATCCCAAGTCATGCAAGGCACATTATACCGCTGAAGTTCCTACAGTGGCTGGAATTAATGTGCAATGCACCACCGAGGCATTCAAATTCCGATACCATTAAAGCGGTGCAAAAGCATTTAGCCTGCTTTAAAGTGTCATGCGCACACACTTCTCATTCCGTGTACACATGGCCTCTGTTGTCCAAAATCTGAATCTCAGAATCCTAACATTAGAAGGCATCTGGTCCAAGTCCCTGCTCAAGAACAGGAACACTACATCTAAGCAATCCCCGTCCAATTTTTATCCAACCTTCTTTTGAAAACCTCCAGTGAAGGAGGTTCTACAACTCACCAGGGGAAATTTGATTGTAAGGTCCTTTTGATAGGGACTTACTATAAATTTGTAAAGACTCTATTTATTTTGGCAAGTGAAGTTTAGTTTTCATTTCTCCATAAGGCACAAGCAAATACCATGTAGTTTGAAGGACATTTTGTGAAAATAAGGACTTTTCAGAAACCATAACAACCTCACTACATACAGTCTTTCACATCAAATCAGTGCAGAGGTGGCTGGGAAGGTTATCATGCTATCATCAAAGCTTGGTTAACAAGTGTCTACTGCAAATACATCCATTATAGTGGAATGGCTAAGAAGTAAGTTTCTTAGATTGTAAGCTCTTTGAGGCGAGGCCTTCTTTTTGTAGGGTTGTAGTCCATGATCAGAGCTCTAGACACTAACAAATTAATAATAATAATCGGATATTTAAAATTAAGCTTCATGCTTACCTTTGTTCGTGTCTATGTGCCTTTTTAAATAGGCACAGTCATCCATGATATGTTACCTCTCATTTTAAATGTCCTAAACTGGCAAGGTTTATATCACTACTAAATTATTTCATCATGCAAGCACTTTTATGGAGAAAAGCAGCATGATCTAATGGTAGTCTGGCTGTCTGGAGACCTATTTACTGCACGGTCTATTCCTGGCCATGCCACTGTCTTATCTTTTGATCTCAAGCAAGTCATTGCATTCTGGGCTGCTGTTGCTGCTTCTTTCTCTTGATAGGCCTTGTTTATTTAGATTCAAAAAGCATCTCTCATGTTGTATATGTAATGCTGCCAAGTCCAGATTTAGGTTTGATCAGATATGTGTGCCTATAGAGAAATATAACTAACACTGGGTCCAAACCAACACCCCAGCTCTTGGACCTCCCTACAATTCTGAACAACTGAAATCCAGATCAAAATTCTGTCCCTTTGGGGCATGATACCATATAGCAGAATATACCGAGTTACTAAGCAGATGAGTAAACAGACTGAACGTCTCGGAGAACAGTCCACTGAATACTTTTGCAAATAGGCAGTTCCTCCTCCTCCCCTGCCAGGGAAAACATAAGCGAGTGCAGCTATTGATTGCTGTCACAAAGCTCTCTTTGTCCTACACAACAAACATCAGTCCTTGTAAAAGAAGTCCAAGTCAAACAGCGAGAGCGGTGTCAGACAAAAGAGTCATCCAGTAAATTATTGACTGTTTTCTTTACTCCTGCACTCTGGAAAAGCTTTGGAAGCTAAAAGAGTTTCAAAACTGTCATTTGAAAGCACCAGGAAAAGAACGGAGACTGGGATTTTCAAGGCTTGCTTAAGATGTGCCTGCATACTTCTCATTCATTTTAGCGTCTAGTCAGCTTTGAAAATGTATATGTGAAAATATTAACTACAGAGCCTGTTTCCTGCCCCCTGCTCCTAAGTCAGTGGTTCCCAACCTTGGGGTTGCAATGGTAAAAAATGGGCTTGCAAAGACAATGACAGATTTTCTCCTTTAAAAGAGAGAAAAGGCAGGAAGTGGTGGGTTCCTTCTGCAGGCTGGCAGAGTTCCAGCCTGCCAGAGTTTCCTTGGTGCTGGGGGAGCAACAGGAAGGGGATTAGGCATGGGGCAGTATGGAGAGAAGCTCCCTCCAGGTAAGTCTATGGGGGCAGGAAGGGCAGATTGAGGCCCCCATGGTGAGGGAGAGAAGAAGGGAGTGGGGCAGGGCTGGGAACTCTGCCCAGCTGGGCACTATGGTGCATGGGGCCAGAATGTGGGGCTTGGCTGGGGAAACAGGATGGAGCCATGGGTGGTGTTTCTGGGGGCCAGTGTGGGGTGGGGGGATGACTGGCTCCCCACTGCTATGTGCCTTCCCAGGGAGGAAGGCATGGGGGGGCATGTGCCCCCAGATTTGTGTGAGGTGGGAGTGGATGTGGGCTGCCTGTTGTGGGCTCAGGATTCTCCACCCTGCAGCCCTCCCACAGGGGCCTCTGCAGCAGAGCAGGGTGGGGAGGCTCAGTGCTGCTGCTGGGAACCCAATGCTCGCAGGGCCACCACGGTGAGGCACTCCCTGCCTGCCTGGGAGCAGCGGAAGATACAGATCCATATCATCACCGCTGCTCCTGCCAGGCAGGCAGGGGGTGCCTCACCATGGCAGCTCCACCAGTGTGGGGCTCCTGCCAGTGGCACTCAGCCTCCCTGCCCTCCTTGTGCTGGGTCCCTCCTGCTAGGCCGTGGACCCTCCAGAGGAAGAGAAGCAGGGCAGGGAGCTCTAAGCCCACAGCGGGCAGCCTGCATCCTCTTCTGCCCATGGGCTCCACTCTGGCTGTGCCACCCACAGGCAGAGGGGGCAGCGGGGGAGCTGGGCTTTGCACTCTGCTCTGGCTGCAGCAGCTGCTACCACTCATGGGAAGTGGCTGGGGCTCAGGTACTGCTGGGGGGCAGGGGGCTGCAGGCCCTGGTCCCATAGCCCTGGCAGCTGGGGGCAAGGCTGGGGGTGGAAGTGGGCTGTGGGTCACAAGTGAGGGGTATGAGTAGGGCTGGGGGTGTGGGAGGGCTGAGGGTGGGGAGCTATGGGTCAGGAGTGAGGATATGGAGTCATAAACAGGATCATGCTGAAGAAAAGGCTGGGAAACAGTGCCCTAAATGATGCCAACATTTTGACGCTCACGGATGTTGATACACAAAACGCAGGAGACCGCTGGAGCATAGTGATTACCGCACTCAGCAGACTCCACTAATTGTAATTGTAGCATGGTGGAGCAGCCTCTGCACTCACGTACAGGCTTTTGATTGACCACAGAAGGGAGGAGCATTTCCTTACACACCTATTTCCTGTAGGTTTTCATGGAGACAATCCTATAGGCATCAACAGTTTTCCCCTGTCTCACCTCCTCTCATTCTTAGGTTTACCGCGTCTCTACCAGTACATCTGAATCTCCACTGACTTCTCATTTGGAAGCTTCTGTGGGTTCATATGGTAGGGAGGCAGCGATTGGTGTTCCCCCTCAATTTTTGAGTCCCTAATGTTTGTTGAAGCAGAAGAAGCAAATCCAACCCCACAGCTTGAATAGCCCTTTCCCAAAATGCCATGTAAACAGTGGCTATACATACCTGCCTTTTGGAGCTCATCGCTATTTATAACTAAAGTATATTCATAGATGCCTCCAAGAGTAGCTTCCGTGATGTAATGTGTCCCGTAGTCCCTGTAGAGTTCTCTGTATTCCCCATAGCTGTACTCTAAAGGTAACTGGTGGAGTCTCTGCATGAACTCATAATGCAGCATCAAACTCTGAGGCTTTAGCTTGTATTGAGCTACATCCAGCTCAGATCGGGCATGAACAAATTTGCTGGACTATATGAAATGCAGAGACACAAGAGCATTCAAATGAAATGAGGCCTCCAACCTACAACACGCTGTCGTTGTTTGGCAACAAAGAGTAAATGGGTTAGGACTTCTCAATGAAACCGGTTTTTGTTGGAAAATAAGAATTTGACAAAACTAAAAATTATTTCGGGAAGGTTTATCAGGTGTGCTCCTGAGAAGAGGAACATTTATCAGCCGTGCAGTTAAACAGCTGACAAGAACTAGGCTGGTTTACAACAGGGAAGGATGAAAAGTGGAAATCAAATGATGATGTGTGCTCCCCCAAAATGAATGCCATATAATCGGCCTAAAAGCTATAAATTAAAGCACCTCCTGCCAGCTTGAAGTGTACACCAGGCCACAGCAGTGGCTCAATCTCTAAAGAAAAAGAATACAAGAGTATTGTGCTGTCTGCCTTGTTCTCTTGAATGATGAGTTCAGTAGACATATCACATCTATCAAAATGAAATGGCTTGTGCAATTCTATAATTAAACCACTGAAGGCTGGCTAGCAGTTTTCATTTTATATTACTGTCATCACAGCCCTACAGTAGAATAGCTTGGTTTCTTTGTTTGCATGATCATTTTCTGAAGTGACAGCTCCTGTCTTGCTTAACGCACCTAACAATGGCATGGCTTTTAATGTGCATGATGACATCCTGTTGTGATTTCAAGGACAGTAGTCCTTCACTGCACAGACTGTTCTCCAGACAGTGTATTCATAAGTACCAGCATCCTGAAGCCTTAACAATCTTATGTAGTTGATTCAACAAAAGATATCACAAAATAAGCCTTGCTCTAATCATAGGCAGCAACGTTTATTTTTGCTGGGGCAGGGGCCTAAGATCATGTCCCCCTAGCAGCATGTCCAAGCTGAGCCCATGGTGGGGGCAAAGGCCCCCCACCCTGCTGCATCTGCCCCTAACCCATGCATAAATCTGGGGGGCACATGGTTCCCAAAACCCAGTCCTTGGGAGTGCAGGCAGTAGCAGGGAGTTGCCCCCCACTCCACTCCAGACAAGCTGCCCACGGCTCTGTCCCACTCCCTGCCCTGGTCCCAGGACCCATGCACCACCCTGGCTGGGCAGTGCCCCCCAGCCTACCCCTTGCCACACTCCTCCCTCACCATGGGAGCCTTCATCTGCCCTACCCCCCCAGACTTACCTGCAATCACCTGGGGGAGCTGCTCTCCCCTGCTGCCTGGGGCTGTATTCCTGGCCACATGCATGTGTGTGTCCACACACACATGCAGGTGGCACCCCCTGCATCCCACTCCCCGCGGCCCCTTGCAGAGGTCCACAGCAACCTGGGTTTACCAGTCTTCAATTAGGGATGGGTGGTCATTCTGGCCTTTTCCTGAGGGGGGCCAGGGCCCTTGGGCCCCACATACTCAGCACCTATGCTTCTCATACTTTCCCTGGACCATCATGCTGACAAACACTACAACCCTGCTGAAGGAAGGGAACAACTTTTTTGTGGGAACTCAGAGCTATTCCTTGGACTTCAGCTGGTAGGATGCATGACATTTCAAAGTTTCAGGGCTCAGTGTCTAAATGACATTCTCTCCTGAGCGCTTTCCTTTGAGGTGTTCAAATTTGCAGGTTAGAGCTACTTGCACCCCTGAAACATTCCCATCTGTGATTACATTTACACTGCTGTTCACTGTTGTGCTCGGCATGTTGGGGTGAGTGCCATGATGCATAAATTGCTTGGCTAGGCTACCTGCTAACTTACGGTTACTAAAGCCACCTTAGCAAAATGCTTAGCATAAGCAACATCATTTTGTGCCTTGACATAACTAATGCTACTAATAAAAGCAAAGTAAGTGAGTCACAGTTTAAGATGACCTTTTTATAACTCATGCCAGCAAAAAGTTAAAAGACAACGTGGTTTAACAGTCCAAGACAGCAGCCTAACAGGAAGATGACCGCTATGCAAGAGGATTGGTGAATAGGTATGGCATACATACAGAAGAGAACTATAAAACAAAAGTATATAAAAACCTAGGGGAAAAAAACCCTTAAAGTTGGGGAGAGTGATATAGAGGAAAAGAAACAACCGCTATTCAAACCTCAGTGCAGTGATGGATGCCTGGCCAGATGGTTTCACTGTATGCATTGGAAGACTCAAGTAAGAATAGCTATGTTGCCTGTTAGGGCTTGCTTTAGTGTTGCTTTCAAAGCCTTGCTTAAATACTGGTATTGCGCATGTGCCCAATAAGTTAGGATTTGAGACTGGAATAGCCTCACTGATCATTTAATTCCCATTCACACGATGCCTTAACTAAATTTAGTACAGCAGCACAAGCCACATGAGTAATCATTTTAATGTTTGGGATACCAATGTCACTGGGTACAACATCTGGTAGTTCATGTATGGGACTGTTGTGCATTTTTGGTTCTTAGCCTACTTTGATACATGATTGCTCTTTGAAACCAAAAATATAATTTGAGCATCCTCCCCTCTGCAACATTTCTGCTGCCACTTTCATTTTTTATTTACAAGGATCTGTTTTACCAATCCTTAGCTTTAAAAACTAGTGTAGTTCTACAGATTTCCATAGACCTACACCATTTTCTGATACCTGAGGATCTGTTCCTGTACCTACACTTTTATTTGCATTGGTTTACAGTTATGTCAGATTCAGTGCACCTGTTCTTGTCTAATCTTAGAAGCTAAGCAGTTGTGGGCCTGACTTGCATTTTGATGGGAGACAACCCAGTAATCCCAGGTGTCATAGGGATAAACCAAAGAATTGTGGTTGAACACTTGGCAAACAGACCATAGGAAATGCATAATTGGAAAGACTTCATCATAATTGCTGAGCTGACAGACAGGAATACATACACTCACAGACACACATACGATTAAACTACATATATTCGATGTTAACTATTAATCTGAACAGAAAATTAAGTAGAACATTGCTTACTGTGCTAGAAAATCTTTTCACTCTCCGAAAAAACTTCTTGAACCTGTTGTCATTGGAATTGTATCCAAATTCAAACAATCCTGGTATTTTTATACCAAAGCTAAAGCTACTCTGTGAAGCTTTTGCCTGCAGGATATTGTGTTCAAAACTTGAGTAGGATTCATATTCAGTCATTGTAAATTCATATTTTCCTTTGGTCTAAACAGAAAACAAAGCAAGAAAAAGCATATTTTATTTTCCACATGGTGACTGCACAGCTGAAATAGAAGCAGGGAGTACTGTTAAATTTGCAACAAATATACTTGTGAATTAATGATTGCACCTTGAAGATGAAAAGCCTTATATAATTGCTAAACATTATTATTACTACTATTGCTATTACTTCAATAGCGCTTGATTCACAGTAGAGGTTAACAGAACACAGAACCAAGCTACCATCTCCTCTGTATTGCAATTACTCATGTATGCCAATCATATGCAAACTGTATGAAACCTTAGACATCGGTGAAGTCTAAACAAGTTTAAAATTGTAAAAGGAAAAAGCTTTCTTAATGAACAACACGTATCAAATCACACTAGCCTGTGAACATCATTAAAGTCAATGGATGATGAGATACAGCTTTCATGCCCATTAAAGGTGAGGTAACAAGTGTGGAGATGAGTTGGGTGCAAGTGCCTGGTGTTATTAAACAATAATTTGCACATTGGCAGCCTCCTTTCCCTAGATAGATCTCAAGGCACTATACAAATATATTTTTTAAATTAGCTTCATAATATCCAGTGGAGGTAGTCACTATTGTTCTTTCTTTTCCAAGGGGTTCATTAGGACAAGGGGTGCATCATTAAAATCAGCTTGAGTTTTGCCTCTGATTTCAAGGCAAAAAAAGATCAAGCCTATAGCAAACCTGCCCAAGCTCATTTTGGAAGTCTGGGGCAAAACCAGAGGTTGATCCCAGATTTTGCCCTTTCCAGTCATATGCCTTAACCCAAAAGACCCATCAACAAGGAAGCGTCTCCTTTCTCTTACAGTTTTCTCTCTAATAATCATGTTCTTTATATTATGAACAATACTATTCCTCCTTTATTACAGAAGAGTGGTACAAGGCTGGTTCATGGACTGCATCGAGCTCTGAATGCTAGGATCAGGACCTGGGGCCTGGCACTGCCCCCTCCCACCCCTGCATACTGGGTTTGGGCTCTGGGGCCAGCCCCACCCCTACTCGGCCCCATGTGCTGGGATTGGGCACCCACTCCAGTGTGCAGGGCCTGGGGCTTTCCATGGGCCTGAAAAATTGGTAGCAAGGAAGCAATGCCACCACTTCCCCACCACCACATTTCTGGACCCATGGGCTGGATGACCGCAGGGGGTTGCATGTTCCTGTTTAGTGCATTGTTGTACAGTCTCTACAAAATAAAGTTCACTCCCTTTTAGCTAATCAAGGAAACTACTTAATCTAGCAGGGGATAAGTGCATTTACAGAAACGTACTTTTTCATTTTTACCCATTATTTAGACCATAATAAGACAATACATACTTGTGAGTATTAGAGAACAATAAACACTTATGTTCCCTGCTTCAATGACAGCCCTTTGCACTCCTTAAAAACCTTATATCTGAAGACTATGTTGGATTTTTCTAGAGTTTTCTAATTGTAAGATACTGTAATGATAAAAGATTGTAATTATAAAAGGTAATCTCCAGCATTTTTTAAATTCTGTTTTATGTACCACACTGTTTATAGAAGCTGCAATATAAATGTCCTTTGGTACTGTTTTTGGCTATTCTTTTCTTATTTGCTTTTGTTATAGAGTGCCAGGCAATATAGTTTTGCCCCCCACCCCCCACCCTTTTTTTTTTAACAACATCATCAATTATATCAACACTCCTCTAGGGATGGGGAGGAGATTTTCAAAGGCATAAAAGAGAGTTAGGCATTTTCACTACAGTCACTGAGAGCAGGATAGCCCTTTGTGCCTTTGAAAATGTCCCCTAAGATTTAATAATTAACATATGTTCTCTCTGCCGACTGCAGTAGAACAGAAATATAGAAAGATTTCTCATAGGTAATACCACAGTTATTTGGAAACTGGAAAATATTCTCTATAAAATGAAAACTTTTTAAAAGTAGGTCAAAATGTAGTCCTGAACTAGGGAGGCTGTTTTTATATTACGCACTGAAAATTAGTGGAAATCTAATTTGTTTGCATTAATTAACCTGAGACTTACCTCTGGGGTGTAGCTTTCTACATTGTATGGTTTTCTAAACCTGGTGTCCATAATGTAATGGGGAGAACACGCACCAGCATAATATCGATGATCAAGAACCAATCCTTCCAGGTTGTTTGTAATACCGTTTACCCTGTATTGGATGCACACAAGTGAAACACATAAGGTTTCTAATTTAGTTAGCCGTGCAAGACAGGGTGTGACCAAGAAAGGCAAGACATGTCATTTTATTTATCTTTATTTTGTCACAGTTTATTTGGGGATTCTACCATCAAAACCTTCCTTTCTTCAACCGTTCACTCATGTAGTGTTGCAATTCTGTAGATAATATTAACTACAGAAAAAGAAGTGCATCTAATCAGCTGGGCTGGTATTGTCCCACCAGTGCTGGCAAACTCTGTAACTCACTATGCCAATAAAGTTAGTAAAATTAAAACTGCGATGAAAAGTCAGGGTTTGGAATAGCTCTCTGACAAATGACAGTAGAGACAAGGGTCAACAAAGTATGCACCCAGGCAAAACACTTCACAATCACTCCAAACTTTCCTAGATGGCAGTGGGAATCATAGTGTATTCAGATTATTCATTCTTTTCTTGAATAACCAGATTCAGTTTTAACCCAGTTTTCTTTTTTCTCTCTTTTATTAATCACGTTTCCCCCTTGTTTTAAATTATAAACCCTGAGCAAAGCTTAACCTTTCAGGGTATTGGGACCTATTAAGACGTGAATCAAAAGTTCATTGAAGCCAATGGAAAACTTTCTATTGACTTCACAGTAGGTCATGGATTAGACCCTAAGCCTTTCTGTATACAGTGAATGTTTAGTAGGGCAACTTTGTTTTTTTTTTTATTGAAGCAATTTTTTTTTTTGGTGGTATGTGGTAACCTGAGATCAGAAAGAATAATTATCCATTACTATCACCTAAGGGTGAATGCCCCGTGTAGCATAGTTACAGGACAATGCTCTAATTTGAATGCACTCACAATCAAATGGCAGTGGGTGTCACTGATGGTACGTGCCCCCCCCGCCCAAATACTATTAGTATCCACTTTCTGAGGACCCATACCTGTCACACAGTGCTCCAGGTCTGTGTCATACTTGCTTCTCATAAAAAAAAACCCACCTCACATAATAATGTTTTTTAAAGCTGTTAAATTAGCTGCAATTTTAGAACAGTGAAAAGCATAGAGCGCCCTTTAATTCACATTATTGAGCAATTGAGGTTTTATAGAGATGAGAAGCATATTCTATAATTGTTTGACGTCATTTTTAAAATTTTGATGAAAGTTTAAAAGAATGGTTTTTGATGAAAATTTAAATGTAATGTTGTTCTCAGCAGTTCTGTCTTCAGACAGCTAGAAATGATCATTTTCCCTTGAATGCGATTTTCACAGTAAAAAGCAAGTAGACTTTTGGTATGCAATGAGATTAGGTGACTATTTTTCCGTGGTAGAATCTGCCAGGCAGTTACTGTGCTCTGGTCCAATGGGAGCTAAATCACCAATTCAGATAAGGATCTGGATGTCAAATACCCCAAAGTTCAGGGTTGCTTAGATGTGGGATGAAATCTCGCCCTGCTGATGTTAATGGCAGACATTGCATGGTCATCAAAAGGGACAAAATTTCATCCTAGGAGTTTTGGTGCAGCCTATTACAAGTACAAGCCACCTGAAATAAATACAAGCCACCTGCAAGACAAATGGATCTTCCCCCTGGTTCAGAGTTCAAGCAAGCCAACGTTTCAGGACGTCTGGACACAGGGTTTTCATTTGTAACATTCTCTTCGGCAACAGTGATACTCTCTGTTCAAACAGCAACTTCCTCACCGGCGTGGTTTTAGAGCCATGGTTTTAAACAGAACTCTTCCCCATCTCAGAAAGGCCATGCAAACTGTTTCATACAAACTGAATAGTTATCTGGCCAGGGTCTACTCTCAATTACACACAGGTAAAACTGAGGGAGGAGATCAAACTATAAACCTCCCCCACCCTCATGCTATCTCAGGTGTCACATGGTTCAAATAACAATCACCTGGAGCTTGGTGAGGTTTTGTTCTTCGATACCTCCCAATGCAATTTGGGCAAAATTGTCCCATTTCAGTAGAGAATAAATAAACATGGCGGCCCATGAACCAGTACCCTTGCTATGACTACTAGCAGGTTGACTCTTTATGAAGTACAAATGTGTCATTCATTCAGTGCATATGTTGCACACTCTCTAACACCTTGTTGACTGTTATTCATTACTAGGGGTGTGCGAAGCAGGCCATTGTTGATTTGGATTCAGTCCAATTCAGGGGACAGTGAATCTACTAGTTGATTTGGATCACTGTCTTGATTCGATTCGGCCAAATCCGAATCTGAAGATTCGATGCTGATTCAGAGAATCAGCAATTTGGCCATAGACACAGCTTTAAATGTTTTTTCTACATACCTCAAGGTATTAGGTGCAGCTCATGAATGCTGCGATGCTGGGGCAGATAGAGTGTCCCACAGGAGTGCGGAGGGGGGGGAACGACATGCTTGGTGGCAGACCCAGAAGTGGACTGGAAATACTGACAGTGGACCTAGAAGTGGACCAGAAGTACTTCCAGTCCACTTCTGGGTCCGCTGTCAAGCACTTGCCCCCCCCCCTCCCCCCCACACATACACACACACTCCCCCTGGGTCGGCGATCAGCCATGGGGGGACCCTGGGTGCCCCACAGACCCAGGAGGCACCAGTTGCCAAGCCAAGTAGTTGGGGGGGGTGCCCTGTGCGCTCTCCATCAAGGGTGCTGGGGACCTCCCCGTGCTCCTGTGGGATGCTCCATCCACCCCAGCATCACAGTATTTACGAGCCAGCTCGTACCTTGAGGTATGTAGAAAAAACATTTAAAGTCATGTCTACGTCCGAATCATTGCATCTCTCCGAATCTCTCCAAATTGATTCAGAGGGTTTCGATTCGATTTGCAGAGATGAAAGGGTCTTCTGATTTGATTCGGATTCAGAGATTCGGCTGTCAAATCAGGCTGCATCTCCACTGAATCAAATCAGCGACTGAAGCTTCGCACAGCCCTACTCATTACATTCTGATTAAAAGCCGCTTTGGTCTCTATAATATTTGGGTCATCCTCAATAAGCCATTTTAATTAAGCCTCCTGTGTTTGCTTTATGCAAAGAATACAGACTTACCCTTTTGCCAGGTTCTCTATTGCCCAATATTCCTCCATCTTCTGGTTGCATTTTCTATACACTTTTCTACAGTTTTTTTCATCTGACTGATCCCCACAATCATCATCCCCATTGCAAAGCAGCCTCCGTGTAATGCATCTTCCTAGGAAGCCAGTGAATACGACTTATTTAAAAAATCCATTATTGTTTTATTAATCACTATGCATTTACAGTTCCCAGAAAGCTTACAATCTCAATAGAAGATTAAAATGTATTGAATAAAGCTGGTTAGAGAATACTCTTCCCACTGGAAAACTTTTACCCTTTAGCTATATAAAAAATAAAAAATGCTGGAAAACTACTACAGTTGTGAATTGTTTAGCCAAACAAGGAAAAAATCCAATAGAAAATCAGAACTTGAACTGAAGGCAAAAACGATCTGGAAATAGTTTTGATTAAACAATAACCTAATTTACTTTTCAGAAAACCTTTGTTGAAAGAATGTTGTCTGGTCCTAATACATATGCATAAGAAAAGAGGGTTATTATTTGTGATCAAACACAGGAACAAATCACTTGAGATTCTTTTAAAACAAGTTTAGGACATTTTCATTGGAGTGAATTAATTCTGGTGAGGGAGAAATATGCCAATAGAAACCTTTAAAACAAGTTTTTAATGAGCTGAATAGTAGAAATAAAGACTATTTATATCTATCTGGCCAGTGATCTTTCATTAAAATTGCTCTACAGAGATCTCTAAAAAAGTCAAGGCAGAGAGAGAACAACATTGTGATCTCAGGAATGTGCCAGCATCATAGATGCATGTTTTGCTGCTGCTGTTCTGGTTGCTGTATTTTTTATTTTTAGCTCCCTGCTTGAAAAAAAACCTTCCAAAATGTAAAGCACGCTCAAGACTGGCAGGCTGAAAACTCAGCTCCAGCACTAGAGTTAAAATCAGTCATTTGCAGACATAATGCGAGTGCTGATAGACCTAGGGCTAAATTTTGACATATGGTATTTTTACTCAGTCCAGGTCCTATGGAAGCAACAAGCTCTTGCAACACTGTTGACTGCAGTGGGAGCAGGGCTGTCCCCAAATTCAGTATGTACTTACCTGTAACTGTGCAAACAAAGCCTTCACATCTAACTCGATTTCTGCAAGGACTGTTTGTCAGACAGTCTTCTGTTTCTTTGTCAGAGTAATCACAGGCATCTCCACTGAACTGAGAAGGCTGTTCCATGCGGGCAAATCTGTACTGTAATGAAATAGAGACTATTTACTCGAGTGTGTAAAAATCATGAATTGTTATGGTTCCTATGTAACAACACACAGTTCTTGTACTGGGGCAGATTTGTTCTAGGAATCATGCCAATAAGATAATGAATGTGCAGAGATTCAATTTGCTTATAGCGTAGCTCACTTAAAAATATAATTTGAGATAGTTTTGATGGGGATAAACAAGGCTCACTGGGCACAGTGGTGACCGTGTTGTTAAGATTGTAATTGGGACAGATTGTATTAAAATAAGACTAACTTCACAATATGTAGGTGAAAAATAAGAAAGGCTTTGATTAATGAGCCTCCTTTTGGTAGGGCAGCATATAAATCTAATAAATAAATACATTACTTTTCCGCTCT